TGCTGAGCTACAGTGAGCTTCTCCCTTTAGAATGGTCAGGGGCTGCGATGAAACCCCATCCCTTTGGACAGCTCTAGGAGAAACCCCAGGACTCCTCCCTTTGCACGACACACTGATGGCTGGCCAGCTGTCTGCACTGAAGAGCAGCTTTCCTTGGGGTTTGTAAGATGCTCTGGGAAGGCAAGCTAGTGTACAGTGAACCTGCAGGAAGTCTTCACAGTGGCCAGAAATAAATTCACGCTCCACTGGTGACCAGTGAGAGACCTGACCTCTTGGCTACGGCTGGACGTAAAAGAGCATTAAAGAAAAAGGGGGGCCTGGAAAAGAAAGCTATAATCTGTGCTTGTGCTCTGCACACGGGGGCTTCCTTCCTCTGCCCACTCTGCTGCTGGCAGCTTTTCTACTAGGGGTGCATATTCCTAGAGGCACGCTGGCACTTCTGAAGTCAGCATGAGCCCAGAGGTTCAGAATGTATTTTTACTGAGAAATGAGGAACTTTGGGCAAATCCTTGCCCCTTGGGACGAAGTATTTTTCTTTCAGCAGAGGAGTGGGGCGGGGGGGTGGGGGGGAGGCGAAAAAACAAGACAGTGTACCTTTTCTGGAAGCCAGGAAACAACTGTAAAAGCAGGACTCGTACTTCCAAGCAACACAACAGAGACACCTTGGAAACACGTGTTCAGGATTAAGACACAGCGTGGGCTTTGTTCCTCCACCTTGCCCCTCACCTGCAGACCGTAAGACCCCATCACCCTCGCCATTCACTGGTTGCTCAGGCAGGCCGGCTTGGATTCGCCGACATTCTTCAGGAATCACAGGCCTGCTTTCCTGTTAGTGCTGCCTAAGTCAGGGCAGCAGAGGTACAGCCCGAAGGGATGCTCTGCAGGCCCAGGGTGGCGGGACGCGAACTTGTCATCGTGCCCCGCACTCCGCCTTCCCCGCAGATGGTCTGGTCTCTGGTTAACGGTGATTTTCTACCATTACCATGTAATGGGCATTTGAGTCCCACAATATTTTATTACGTTCGTGGATAAATTATGAGGAATACAGCTACCCAGAGATATGGCTGTTTCTTATGAGGATGTGTTATTTTCTTTGTTCTATTTTCGACATTAGCAGCTGCGTGTGGCCCCTCAGGCTGTGATGGTTAAATGAAAGGCGATGCAGGGTGAAGTAATCAGACACGCCGTTTACACAGGTCTCCAGAGAAAACAGGAGACCAAACCCTGCCCACTGCTTGGTGGTCCTCTAGCTCATCTTCAGAGGTAAGGAAAGCGGGGTTTGACTCAAATTGATGGTTTCCGGTGGTACAGAGAGATTATACTATAAGAATGCCACCTCAAGTTACTGATTAAAAGAAGAAGGTTGAACTAAATGATCTCAACTTTTCCAGTTCTCACTTTCTTTGAGTCTTTAACGATGATCTATAGAAGAAAAATGGACTTAAAGCAGGAGAGAATGCAATGCCCTACAATGAAGAACTTATCATGATAAAATATTGGCAATGACCGTGGGGAGAGACTCTAAGTCTCCATAACATGTTTATTTAGGGGAAGAGAACCTTCTGTTGGGAATTCATTCTTTCATTTGACAAGTTCAAATTAAATATCTCTTTTGTCTTCAGCTCTGTGCTAAGTGCTAGATGCTAGAACTTCTGTGGTAAACAAGACCGACAAGGTCTTTGCTTTCAGAGCTTATAGGTCAGTGAAGTAGATGTACAAGAAACAAATGCTGTGGAGGGAAGTACCACGAAGAAAACAATAACATGGGGGACTTGTTTTACATTTGGGTGGGCAGGCAAGGCTTTTCTGATGAGATGACCACCTCGTACCTAAATAATAATACTTAGTATTTGCTGGACATGGTCTATGTGTCAGACGTTACGTATTTTATGAGCACTACCTACTTTTAAAGAAACTATCTAGTTGACGTATAACACACACATACATAGGAAAGCATACAGAGTGTACAGCTTGAAAAATTATCAGGAAGTGAAGAGAACGTCCATGTTGTAACTAGCACCCAGGCTGAGAAACGGAACACAACACACTGCCAGCAACCCGGAAGCACGGCTCCCCTCCTCATCCCCAGAGGTAAGGACTCACTACTTCTGACACAACCGGTTAGTTTTGCCAGGCTTTGACTTTTATATAAACACTCGTTAAGATACAGCCATGTTGTGTGGCACGGCACAGCAGTTGCCTTTTTCTGTTGTTGAATAATATCGCACTGTATAAACATACCACAATGTATCTATCTGACTGCTGATGGACACTTAGGCCATTTTCAGTTTTTAGCCATCACGTGTGGTGGCGTTACTACGCACATTCGCGAATGTGTCTTTGATGCACGTGCACCCGCGTTTCTGTTGGGAATACACCCAGAAGTAGAATTGCTGGGTTACAGGGTATGTTCAGCTTTAGAAGGTACTGACGAGTTGCTCTCCAAAGTTGGTTTCACTAATTTGTTGCCACCGGAAGTGAATGAAAATCCCAATTGCTCCGTGTTTTCGTCAACACTTGGTATTTGTGGTGTTTTCTATTTCTATTCAGTTTTGGTTGATATGTCGTGGCATTTTATAGTTTTAATCTGAATTTCTATAATGACAAACAAGCTTGACCGGCTTTTCACGTGTTTCTCGGCCTTTTGGGTACCCTCTTTAGTGAAATAAGTGCCAGTTCATATCTCTTAACTGGCCAGCTTTAGAAAATTGTTTGATAAGAGTCCTATATATATCCTGAACATAGTACACACAGAAGTATATATTGGCGGTATCTTCTTGCCTTTTCACTGTCTTCATAGTGTCTTCTAATACACAGAAATGACTACCTTTATTGCATGTTTTCCTTTATGGTTAATGTTTTTTCTATCCTGTTTAAGAAATCTTTGCTTATCCAAAGATAAAAATCTCCATGGTATCTTCTAGAAGTTTTAGTTTTGCCTTTCACATTTAGGTTTTAAATCTCCTCTGGACTTAGCCCCATTTTCCCCCCATAAGGCTATCTAGCTGACCCAGCAGAACTTAATGAAAAGACTATCATTGGTAGACACTGCCATAGATCAAGCATTCATATATGTGTGGGTCTGTTTCTGGATGTTTAATTCTGTTCCATTTATCTATTTGTCTATCCTTGTACCAATACTATACTGTCTTAATTATCATATTATCATAGCTTTATGATAAGTCTTGATTTCTAGTAGTGTGATCCCTCCAAATTTATTTTTCTTATTTGAAAATGCCTTAGCTATTTTTAATCTTTTGCTTTATTTAACTTAATACTCACAAAAAAATCCTGTGAGATGAAGTCGTTATGATTTTTATCTCCATTTCACAGATTAGTAAACTCAGAGAAGTAATTTAATGTGCCCAGGGTCATATAACCACCAAGCGATGGGCAGGGATTAGAACTCAGATTTGATTCCAGCCCCAAGTATTTGAAGTCTTTAATCCTCAAGCCAGATGACCCCTTCAGGAAATTTAATACGAATGTATCACAACTTTAAGAAATTCTAATGTTCTAAGCCACCCATTTCCAGTTAAAAATCTTGTTTTGAAGCTACAAAAAGCCACTTTCCTGGTAAGACTCTGGAGAAAAAAAAAGCAGCAAGAAGTAAAAGCTTCTTGGACTCCTTCCACAGCCCGTTTCCAGAACAATCACAGTCCTCACATGGACTCGCAGGGCCCCTCAGGCCTGGCTCCCCGCCCTCTCCAGCTTTCACTGGCCCGACTCCTCTACCTTCGTGACTGAAGCCATGCTCGGCCACTTACACGCTCCTAGTGAGCCAAGGTCCTCCATGTAGCCACGCCTTTGCACACGATGCCCTCTCCCACTCCTGGCTACTTCCTCCTTTTTCTTTAAAACCTGGGTACCACTTCCCTTGGGAGGTTTCCAGAACCTCATCTGGGTTGGACACTCCTTCTCCTCTGAGTCCCCTATCCAAACATGTCACAATGTCCTAGAGTTTGGCTATCTGCCTCTCCAACCAGACTGTGAGGCACAAGAGGCTGGGGTGGTGCTGTCACTGTGCCCTTCGATCTGAATGCTGACTAACAGACCAGAAGTGAGCTACAAAGTCCCGAGAGAGATGTGAGAGAGACTTTTTTTGCTAGGTGTTATAATTAAATAATAGACTAGGTGTTATAATTAAATAATTTTTTGCTAGGTGTTATAATTAAATAATAGACTATGAGAGGAGGCCTGAGAAATGATTTCTAAGACACCCAAGACACACTCTTGGGTAGAAGTGGCACATTAGAAGGCTCAGTGAAGAGGTGGAAGTAGCTTCCGTGACGGACCTGGGCTTTCAGTGAGGTAGAAACTGGAATGAATGATAGACGGGTCAGGTATCAAATGGCTACACATAGTAAGGCAAGCTGCGACCCATTAAAAGTCTTCAGAAGAAGTAAAAGACTCCCATGAAGTACACAAACTGACAAGACAGGTTCTTCTAAGGTCGACCCATTCGACAAACTGGGAGTTTGGTTTCAAAGGCACCTGTTTCTCTCCCTCATCAATTTTGAAAGCAATGGTTAAAGAGTAGGCAGGGGCAGGAATACACTAGGAAAAGAGAACTCTCTCCAACAGGGACATTTTCAAGAAAATGAGATGTGACACTCCCATCTGGGTAGAGAGAGAGAGAGAGACCTCCTCCAGCTCTTAGCTCTGTGGTCCTCAGCTGCTCGAATGCTGCCAGCCCTTGGTGCCAGCCCGAGGCCGTGCGGCCCACACCGTGAGGTCTTTGAGAACCTCCAGGCTTGGCGAAAGCTCACGGGCTTTCCCATGAGGAATATGACCTTCGTTTTCAAAAACATCTTTCACAGGAGCACTAAGCCGACACTCTT